CACAGAATAACCAGGAAAGGATTGGAACAATCTAGGGCTGATTTCCAGAGACTTTATCTATACAGCCATTGGCTGTCTTACCTGGGGCAGAAGTTCTTTCTCTTCTGCCCCAGACCATTTCCATAGAAATTGTAAACAGATACTAGGAAAGGGTTTGAACAATGAAGGGGATTTCCAGAGTCAGGTGGAGGGCAGCTTTTTCTCAGAGGCCAGGGAGGGGGTCTGAGGGGCACTCTCTTTCAGCCCCAGCTGTCCTGGAACTTGCTATGTAGATCAGACGGGCCTTGAACTCACAGAGATCTGCCTGCCTCTGCCTCCCAAGTGCTGGGATTAAAGGTGTGCGCTACCACGCCCAGCCAAAGGATTTATTCTTACCATAGAGCTTAGCAACTTTTGCATTTATTATTTTTTTTTCCTTATTGAAATTATTCACTGGGACTTAAATGAAGCACTTTCTGTCTTCTCTTCGGCATATCTGAATTTCCAGCATCCTTGCTCTTCTCCATTGGATCACTGTTAAGTGAAACATGGGTTACTTGAACATAAGTACAATGATTCCACCATGGTTGACCAGATAATCAAAATGGCTATCAGATGACCAATGAGTGGTTAGCAAATGTAGCACCAATACGCTGGAAAGTGGCATGATTCAAGTCCTGGGTGGGACAGAGTATACTGGCAAACAATTTCAGCATGCTACTTAGACTGATTCACAATCTGAAGGTTAAGAATTTCTTTTTATGGTCTTTTTGTTTTGCTTTTTGAGACAGGGTCTCCCTGTAGTCCCAGCTGGCCTGGAACTCACTATGTAAACAGGTTGGCCTTGATCTCACAGAGCTCCACCTGCCTCTACCTTCCAAGTGCTGAGATGAAAGGTGTGTGCCACCATACCTGGCAATGAATTTCTTTTTTAAAAGATTTATTTATTTTTATTTTATGTATATGAGTGTCTGCATGTATGTATGTGCACCACATATGTTCCTGCTACTACTTCCAAAGGCCAGAAGAGAGAGCCAGATTCCCCTGGAACTGGAGTTATAGATGGTTGTGAGCCACCCGTGTGGGTGCTGAACTTGTATCCTCTGCAACAGCAGCAAGTGTTTTCAACCAATAAGCCATCTCTCTGGTACCCAAATACTTTAAAAAAATACTTATTTTTATTTATCTGTATATACATGCACATGATGTGTGCAGGTACCTATGAAAGCCAGAAGAGGGAGTTGGATCCCCTGAGTTATAGCTGGAGTTATAGGTGGTTGCAAGCAGTCTAGTGTGGATGCTAGGAACTGGTTTGAGTCCTCTGCAAGAGTAGCAAGTGCTCTTAACTGCTAAGTCATCTCTTCAGCCCCAGTGAATAATTTCAGGAAATTTCCATTTAATATTTTTGGGCTGCTGTTGATTAATGGTAACTGAAATAATGGAAGAAGAAAGTCCAGATAAGGAGAGATTACTATAACATGATGATCCTAGCTTTTATTTTTTTATTTAAAAATTTATTTATGGGTCTGGAGAGATGGCTAAGCGGGTAAGAGCACTGACTCCTCTTGCAGAGGACACGGGCTCAATTCCCAGCACCCACATGCCGGCTAGGAACCATCCTTAACTCCAGTTCCAGGGGAATCTGAAGCCCTGGAACTGACCTCCACAGCATTGCACAACATGGGTGCACTCACATACATTCAGGCAATACACTCATACACGTAAAATAAAAATTAAAAAAAGATTTATATTTTATTATGTAAGAATTTTTGCCTACATGTATGTAAGTGCACCATGTGCATACAGTGCCTGTGGAGACCAGAAGAGGGCATCAGATCCCCTGGAACTGGAGAGTTATAGAAGGTTGAGAGTCACCATGTGGCTTCTGGGAACTGAACCCAGGTTCTCTGGAAGAACAGCAAGTACTTTCAACTGCTGAGCCATTACCCCAGCCTCAAATTCCACATTTTAAAGACTCACCTCAGTTAGTGTTTATAGTGTTTCTATAGTATGTACTATAGAAACAAATGGAAGTAGGTGACCAATTAAGTTGCCTTTCAGGTCCCTGCTACTAAAACAGTCCAGATAATACACTGGGTGGTGATAGAACAGGGCATATAAAAAAAGTGACTGGATGTCAGATGTATTTTTGAGGCCAGCTTGCTGATGGATTGGATATGGGACACATTCAAGAATAATTTATAGGGCCAGGCATAGGCATAGTGGTACACACTTTTAATCCTAGCACTCAGGAGGCAGAGGCAGGTGGATTTCTGTGAGATTGAGGTCAGCCTGATCTACATAGCGAGTTCCAGACTAGCTGGGGCTACAGGGAGACCCTGTCTCAAACAAAACAACAACAAAAAAGAATTTCTCATAACGCTTTGATGTGAGCAACTGATTATGTCATCAATTCAGGCAGGGATAGAAGGAAGAACAGGTTTATGGGGAAAATGAAGAATTCTGTTTTGGCTAGGTCAAGTTCAGGATGTCCAAAAAGCTGCCAAATACAACTGTGAAGCTGGTTGTTGGATATATGAATTTGGAGTCCCCACAAAGGTCAGAGTGGAAGACACAGAGGTGTGGGCATTTTGAACCACTCGGAACTCATACTGTGTGACATGTGACCTTGTGTGGAACAGAAGAGTATAACAAGGGCTCAAGATATAGGTCTGTTGGTAGTGTTTGCCTAGCATGCAGGAAAACCTGAGTTGGGTCCTAGCACTGCATAAAACTGGGCATGGCGGTGTCAGCCTCTAATCTCAATACTTAGGTGAAGACAGGAAGATCAGAAGTTCAAGGTCATTCTTGGCTATATATCCACTTGGAGGCCAGCCTGGGCTACATGAGACTCTCTAGCCTCTCTCTCATTTTCTCTGTCTATCCCTCCCAGCTTCTTTCTCTCACACACATACCAACTAAGCAGAAGAGTGGAACCAGCCAGCTAATTTCATTTTTACCATATGGATTAGAGTTGATTTCTTCAGGTAAGCAAGAGATAATGATTTATCCTTTCTAGAAAATACACTTACAGGCTGTGCCTACCTTACTACTGTGGATCTATCAATAGGGCCTTGTTTGAATAGGTTTCTACCATGCATTAAAAATGCAAATTGGGTTGAAAAATGGCTCAGAGGTTAAGAGTGCTTGTGGGAGTTCTGTTCCCAGCACCAGAGTTGGATGGCTCACAACTTCCTGTTACTACAGCGCTGGGGGATCTGATGCCCTCTTCTGGCCTCCATGGGCAACTGAGCTCAGGTGCACCCCTCCCCCACACAGGCACACATACACATGATTAAAAAAATAATAAAATAAATGTTTGTTTTTTGTCTTTTTTTGAGTCAGGGTCTCCCTGTGGCTCCAGCTTGTCTGGAACTCGACTTGAACTCACTAGATCCACCTGCCTCCCGGGTGCTGGGCCTGGCTAAAATAAATCTTTAAAAAATGCAAATCAAAGCTTTGTGGTGGTGCATGCCTGTAACCCCAGTACTCTAGTGGTGGACGCATAAGGATGGAGAGAGCTTGGGGTCAGCAGGGGGCTACATAGGGAGAGACAAAAAATAAAAGAAAAAAGGGAAAAACAAAGTTGGCCAAGCTGTAAGCCAGAGCTACTTGGGAGGTGACGGTGGGGATCCCTTAAGTTCAGCCTAGGGTAACAGAAACACTCTGGCTCAAAACCAAAGGCAGCAGTACCGATAAACCACACAAAATTCTTGAGTAGTCTAGCATCTTTCAATATGGGGAAACTGAGGCTCAGATCAGGCTTCTGGGTGCCACCTCCACCCTGGCTGCTCTTGCCAAGTCCGAGACAAGAGCTGCAGGGCAGTGACTGTATCGGAGGATCATAGCCTCTTTCCTGAGATGTGACAAGCTCCCACTAGGAGTCCCGTCACGACTCTCACAAGCTCTGGTTGTGTAATAAGGAGTGTGGAATCAGAGATGGAGAACTACGGCTCCCAGGGAGGGACCTGGAGAGTGGAGAGAGCAGAGCCATTTTCTAGACAAGATCTTTAACCGGGTGGAAGGAGTGTTGCAGGTAACTGAGAATAGCCTTGAAAGTGAAGACGGAGAGGGGAAGGCTGAGGACCTTTTGGGAAGCAGGTCCCCAGAGTCCTTTGCCACCTGCAGCTGCTAGTGGAGTGGGTTCCAAGCGCTTCTTTACTTGGTGACAGCTCTGTGTGCGGGTGTGTTGGTGTGTCCTTTCAGAGAACTCAGCTTTCTTTCTGCCAACTAATTTGGCTAGAAATAAAGATACACTGGAACTGGAGGACAGAGGCGTCCAGGCCATGGGGTCCAGGGGTTGATCACTCATTCCGGGGTCTCAGGGTAGCATGTGTCTGGGAGTTTGGGCTCAAAGATTTGGAGCAGGAATCTCAGGTAGGGTGGCCACGGTCGTCCCAACCACATAACAAAGCGGTCTGCAGCAATCTCCCCAGCTCTGCCCGCGCGCCCGGGATCGGGCCCCTTAGCTTGGTGGTGCATACGCGCCATCCCTGGAGGGCGAGGGCTGGGGGCGGGGCCTCCGTGTTGTTGTTTCTCTGGGGCCCCGCCCCCAGGGGGGGCGCGGACCACGCGGCCGGAGGGCCCGCCTCCCCTCCCCCTCCCCGCCCAGCTCGCCCGCCTCTTTGTATCCAACATCCGGGTTTCCCCGCTGGCTCCGCTCCCGGGGCCCCCCCCAGGGG